TTTCTTTATCAATAAGCCCCATATGGATTTTAAAACGCATTGCTGAATTTCAAACTATAAATCGGCGACTCATTTGTCCACATATTGACATAAACTACATCAGTAATTGTAAACACATCTACCGTTATACACTAATGCACATTGTAAATAAATCGTTCCATGGGCAAAAACCATTCACTCCTCATGATGTCCTTTCTAATAAAACAAGAACAGCCATTTATTCCAAAACAGCATACCATTTGAAATTGCATTTGATCACAATATCCCCGTTTGGATTTTCAAATGCTGTACAACCCACACATCCAAACTGCGCTTCAACTGGAAAACCACAATACGAGGTACAAAAAACCAAACTACAAGGACTTTTAACCATGGAAGATTTTTCTTCTGCATTAAGTATCCGAGGGATACTTCCAAATAATCGATTTTCTCAGAAAGGGATAATGATAGTTATCACTTACTGTCCAAATAATGCTCCAAATACATCCCAGCCGCCATCTTGACAAGCTGCAAACAAAATAAAGGCGCTTCCGGTCCGGCCGGATATAGAGCCGAGAGAGAGGGTTGTGGGTGAGGTGGTTGAAATCTTTTTTTCTTCCCCCTCCTCCTCTCGACGTTAATTTTTAGGTTATTTTACAGCGGACCAGAATATCTTGAATATTTTATTTTGCCTGTTACATCGCATTTTCACGCAGAACTAAAAATGTTGTTGAAAACAAATATTGAGGACGGCTTTAATTTTTATGGAAATTGCTCATTGCTGCCTACCTCCTGCAGTTCGGCTCCGATCCACAAACGTGACGCTACTAACTGCACAGTACCGGTGATGAGTATTTACAGAAGTTCATTGCACAAAATCAACGATCTTTTGTGTATGTTTCATGAACTACACTGTTGTTTACTTTGTATTAATTGATATGGGGTGGGGGGACGGATATATCGCAATGTACTATAAATCTTAAAGTAACTGCAAATTGTTTTGAAACATCTGCTATTTATTTATTTTCACAAAGAAAACTGATATGTTAGCAATAAATTCAACGTTTCCGAACAACTATCATTATATTGTGTTTTTTAGCCGTTTAATTTAGGACCTAGGACCTAGATTAAAGTTAGATTAAAGATCTAGATTAAAGTTAATAATAGATAACAACTTTTTTTTTCTAGATCTTCAAAACGTTCAAAAATAATCGGTGGTATTGTTTAAGGCTGTAAATCTGCAATGGTAGAAATCTTATCTTTTATGGTGAATTTACACAGAAAACCCTAAAACGTGCATCGGTGTGTAAGCATTCAAATCTATTTTTTAATTCATTAACAAAACCAAACAGTTTCTGCAGATGTGTATCGAACGGTGTAATGTATTACGCGTCTACGTTTTCACCGCGTCTTGCTTTTTATTCCGTTTTTTTGTGAAAGCTAGAAAAAAAAACTATTTAAGATGAGACAACAGCAGCAGTATTGGCTATCGGTGCTTTGCGGTGGCTGAATTTGTTTTCCTCCATCAGCCTCGTTTTCAATCAGACATGGCCGCCGCGGTGAAAGGGCTCTATTCCCTCAGCCTATGCTGGGAGCACGTGGACGGAAGTCGCCGCAGCCATTGGCGCGGGAGAAAATTCAAAAAATGTCCCGGCTGCCGACTAACCGCTGTTAGCCGACTAGCCGCTGCCTGGCCTGGAGGTTTACAGGTAACGTTTGTTTTAAATACGTTGTTTCAGTCGGCTAAAACCGTAAGAAAAACGGGGTTAAAACGTTTACTTCTCGCTTTTAAATTTATTTTTATACTTTGTTTACCAGGCGTCTTATGCGAGTCTCAGGGAGCGAAGCCGAGCAGTTAGGGGGAAGCGAGTGAATATTTGCCGTTTTGAAAGAAACTCTCTGGGGCCCCAGAGAAAATTACAGAAACCTCAATAAGAAAACCGAAGCGCTGCGGTAAGTCGGATTTCTTTGTTTCTTGAGAGATATATATATATATTTTTGCTGGCGTCGTAATAGTCTGGTATCGTCAGAGCTGGTGGCTGTGTGATGTCTTTCGTCCGTCTCTCCGCCTTTTCCTCAGGTTATGACTCCGTTTTGGACCCGATGGAGTCTAATTATTTTAATGAACTTAATAATAAATATTATAAGCTGGCTCCAGAAAGTTTTTATAGGTGCCAGTACGTTAAGGAAAGCAACGTTAGGGGGTCATCAGCTTCCTGTGTTTGTCAATATAAATGTAAGGGTCAAGTTGACGATTTGGGTTAGCCCAAAAAGCAGATTAGCCTCTTACTTGATCCAAGAAGTTGCTTCAATTCTCGATTTACGTTTTGTTCCTAATCTCAAATTTGTTATTTTATGTCACTTAGAAAATACAAGGGTTAAAGCTCCAACGACAATAATAATAATGGTTCCTTACATTTATATAGTGTTTTTATGAGCACTCCACTGAAAGTGCTTTACAGATC